ATGTTACTTTTAAACATTAATTGTAACAACTAATTTAAACAGAAAAAAACCCATGTTGTTTCAGAAGCCAAAGGAAACAAGTCGGGTTGTATGTGCAATTAAGCATAGTGTGGAGAGGACAGGAGAAGGAAGCAAGTGCTGCCGGGACCAGACTGAATCACCAAGAGGCTCTTCGGAAGTGTTTGCATTAAACTGGATCATCAAGGAGGAGAGAGGGATCTCAAGGCAAATGCTGGAAGCAGAAGCAGATGACATACAAAGATAACCAATTCAACAGGACAAAATCAATGTTAGAGGAAAGCAAGGAGTAACAGGCTAACACGAGACTATGAGAATCACAGAAGTACACACTCTTGACCTAGCCAGTCCTCTGAGATAGAGGCTTATTCACGGCAGCCCTGCTTGGAACAGAAAAGATGAAAGATAAACCACCCAACCGCTGGCAGGGATCATGCGGGTTAATCTTAGCTGTCAGAGCAACTGGGTCAGGATGCTCTGAGGAGGTAGCTGGGTCCCGTGCCCCCTACCCAGCAGGGTCTGGTCCACCGCAGAGCATGCTGCAGGAAGGAGGCCCACTGGGAAGGGGTGGTCACACGGAGGGTCCTTGGAAGGGTTGTCTGCTCTGCCCTGCCACACCTTTTGCTTCCTTGGAACTAACAGGAGCTGCCCTGAAACCTCTTGAGCCATGAGTGAAATAAACCACGCTGCCCTTTAAGCTGGCCGCAGCAATGGAAAGCTGGCTGGCCTGGAGCTCTTACGCAGGCCCCCATGCAAGCGTGACGGGGACCAAGGAGCCCAGGACACAGCGCAGCCGCTCAAGCACCTGCTGGCTAGCGCGAAGTCCTGAGTTCCGGTCCTGGTACCTCCACAAAATAAAATAATAAAAGGAACCAAGGAAGCTGTATACCACTGTGAATCATGGTCACAGATTGTCACAAAAGATACAAAAAAAAATCTGGTATCCATGGTTGCTTCTGGAAAATTGCTAGAGAACAAAGTAAGACAAAATATTCACTGTGTACTTAACCTTTTGAACTTTGTATATCTTGCCTGTTAAACTAATAAGGTATTTTCACAGAAAAGAAAATGACAGGAAAAGCTAACACACTAGAAAGGCAGAAGCATGTCAAGCAGGTATCTATGCTGGAAAAGGTCAAAGTTTAATGAAAATTTTCTCTACTAGATGGCCAAATTCTGATTTAACTGGGGGAAAAAAAAAAAAAGAGTATCCTTGATTTCTATACCCAAAGCTGTTGGTTACATTTAGAGTGTGTTTATCCTACATCCATTTAATAGAGTTGCTCCTGCCAACAGACGCAGACTTGTATTGCAGAGTCCTCACGCCCAAGGGGATCAAGTTCTTTAGAGATGGTCGTGTGTTAATCAAGGAAAATGGGCTTCTTAAAAAAGGTGTGGCTTGGGATTATAAGTAAATACAGAAACGTAATTCAAGCCCCACTGTGCTTCCAAACAAGCGTGCTGTGGGAATCTTAACCTGCACAACCTGGTGGTCTTCCCTAAAAGTTTCTTCTCTACATCAACTAGAATATTACCCACTGGTGGCTTATGGGAACCACAAAGGGCAGATATAGATGTGGGAAGGCTAAGAGGAGAAGTAGAGTTGTGCTGTATAAGAACAGAAAAATGTTCGTATACTTCCAAGAATGAAAGACCAAGGTCCCCCTTAGGAAGAAGGGTGTAAAATCAGTACACAAGGCACCTGAGCAAATTACTGCTGACAGTAACCAGTCCTGACCGAGCCCTCAGGTTGTAACCTGGGCTGTGATGCTCCATACGCATACAAGATTGGACACAAACTGCTTCTCACTTAGTTTTGACTTTTCCTTTTCCTTTTTTTTTTTTTGGTGGAACCGGGTATTAAACTCAGGCCCTTGCGCTTGCCAGGGAAGCACTTATTCCACTGAGCCATCTCCCCCGGCCCCAGTTTTTACTTTTCTAAAACAGGGTAACAATTTCCTAGCTTGGGGGGAATTTTGTTGTGCCTTGTGTTTTTTTTTTGTTTTGTTTTAATGAGGATCAGACATAAAATACTTCATGCTCACCACATTGTAGACATTCAATAAATGGAAACTATTATTATACAAGACTAAAATGCTGAGTCCCAAAATAGCAGTGCAGTGAGTGCCAGCGCCGCAGCCTCCCTGGGACCAAGAGCCTGGAGGAAAGCGGCTTGGAGAGGGGCCAAAGCAGCTCCCTAGGAAGTAGTTCCCCAGGAACCCTGACTGTGAGGGAGCCAACGGGGAGAAAACAGGATCAAGTGACACGGAAGAAACGTCACACGGCACAGGAGAGGTCGGGCAGCACTGCTGACTGTGGCTGGGTGGCTGCCAGCTGGGAGGCAAAGAGAAACTAACAACTGGTTTGCTCACCAAGAGCCGACTGCAGTGGGACCCAAAGAATCGCCTGCAGTGGGAACCAGCGAGAAAAACAGACACCACCTCCAAGAGGTTCACACTGAAGTCCACAGAGCTGAGTGACATGGCAGAAGCATCCAGCCACAACACTGGAGCAGGAGCCACTGGGACAGTGCTGCAGGGAGGCAGAGCGGGGAACACAGCGAACGAGCAGCGGACAGACACCAGGAGAGCCCAGAGGCGGTCAGGCCCAGTGACCTGCAGCCTCCAGTGCACGACCCCACAGGCAGCTCTGCCCTTCCTATTTCCTTATTCCCACACCACAGAGCCTCAGAATGTGCTCACTCTCTTCTCCTCTCCCCTCTGGCATGACTCACCACATCAGGTCTGGCATGACCTGATCCCCACTCTCCTGGCCTACAGTAACTGGTTCCATGAAATTACTGTTGAATGCTGTTTATTACCACGGGAGAAGCCACAGCCCTTGCACTTCCACACTGTCAGTCAAGACTCCGGTTGTTCAGATGCTTACACTGTCACGTGGATTTGTCCTCTAGGTTACGGAGACCCAGAACAGTCTTGGTGTCACTTCTCAGCTAGCCCTGATCCTCAGCACTGTAACACATTAGCCTGCTGCTGCTATTGGTGAACTGGTTGCTTGGGAATAATCCTGACTCAGTGGACAACATCACGCCAGTGACTCTGACTGCGGACTCCAACACCACCCGGGGAGAGAGAGGGGGACGGCAAGCATCCCTAAGCCAAGAACTGGATCTGACTCTGCGAGAATGCCTGCAACCTGGCCGGGAAAGAGGCTGCACTGCGGTGCAGGGAGTGGAGGAGCCTGTGGCGTGAGCGCTTAGGCTCTCTGGCAAGTAAGCTACTTGGGACTCACAGATGCGGCGTCTCGCTGGAATAGCTGATCTGTGTTCCCATCAGACATCTTACTGGTTTCTTGAACATTTGTATGCGTCTTGATGTATTTAGTAAACTGGGGTTGTGTTACGTTGTTTTAGGGTGCCCTGTGTTTCTGGGGTTACTTTGGGTATCTGTCCTTTCACTGGCTCGGATGTAATGGGTGTCTAGGTTCTCTCTGTTGTCTCCACCCCGTCTAGTTTCTTCATCTCAGACCCAGTGACAATATTAATGAGTCTTTATTCTCTCCCCTCCTCCAAGGTTTTGGGTTCCCCCTTCTTAGCTTCCTGGCCGCCTGTCCTGTGCTCTCCAGCACTATTTCCTGACCCTGCCGTCCTAAGCCTTTGACTCTTCGGTATCTCACCCATCTTATTGTCCTCCCAATGCCACGTTCTGACAACCACACAGCTCCCCTCAATCACAAAGTGAACCCCCTTTTTTCACATATCTCACCCTTACCCTGTCTTACTTTTCTTGCGGCTGTAACAAATCTGACACCATAAATTGATGGCACCACAAATGGGTCACATGCTCTAGATCTGGCCGCCTCTGAAAAAGCTTCACCTATAGACACCTAAGCTCCAAGTATCCTCTGAAAATTCTAAATATTAACCCTTCAATTCAGCTTGAAAGTGCTCCAATAAAATCAGCCCACAGCAACTTTTCTTCTAATCCACTACCCTCCTTCAAACTCCCCTTAGCGTCTACGGCTCCTCACCCACTGCTGAGGCTCCCCCCCCCACCTACCTGCCTGCATGTCAACCACACACCATACACTGTCAGCGTGCACAAGGGGAGATGGGGGAAGGCGACTGCGCAGACCGCCACACACGTGCTGCAAGACTGTCTGTGGGGGCTGCTAGAGCCAGAGGTCATTCTTTCAGCAAAACATAGGGACAGAGTTGAAATCACTTAAAGGGAGTAACAGGAAGAGTAAACACACTGGATATACAGAGCTGGAAATTATTCACAGATAGGCAACATCCTACCAAAAATCTCCATCTAAGCTGCATACTCTCAATTCTCTAGCCCCCAACCTGTAGTAATGCCCCAAAAATAGAAAGGAAAGAAGACAAGCCATACAAAATTATATATACATATGGGGAAGCAAAGACAGGCAAGATCTCCAAACCCCTCCCCAACTCTCCCAAGGCAGAGTAAGAGGATGCAAGGGAGAAGAAAACAAATAACAAGTAGCAGAAATGTATGAAAAGTTCTTAGAAGGGGAGGCAGGGTCTCGCCAAGTTGCTAGGTTGCCCAGACTGGGCCCAACCCTGCAATCCTCCTGCCTCAGAACACCCGAGGCCCAGGATTACAACCACGCCCCACCACTCTCAGCTGCTGCTACCATGGGAAGCCGCCTACTGATGTGGCCAGCCTCGTCAGAGCAGGAGGAAAACCCTAACAGTGACTAAAACCGTGGGTTACCACTGCTCTCACCAGGACTTCTGTAGCTGGAATAACAAGACAGAGTACTATGGCAATTATTCTTCATATGAGTTTGAAAGAATCAAGGAAATTTTGTCCACTACAGTTTCCCAGCACATGGAAGTGCCTTATTTTTAGCAAAAAATACCTCTGTTAAAGACCTTTCTAAGGTCCATTATTTCAGTGCATTCAGAGTATTTAGAATACCATCACTTTATCAGAAATTTTTACAGGTATTTATAAAGAGTAACATTAACTTTTTAAATATCCTTTAATACGTACCTGAAATTAGGCATAATCTTCCAGACAACATAAAACAAGGACTCTGGGCTGAAGGCGGTCTGGCTGCCCTGCCACAGAGCGCACAGTGTCTTTCTAAACTCCTCCACCAAGGACCTGGACAGGAGGAAGACGCTGTTAGCACCAGTGGGAGGGGGGCACTATTTCAACACATAATCTGCTATCATGTGAAACACATGATAAAAAATGGAAAAAGGGCCAAATCTTTCCTAAGCTGATTCTCTGACAGCTATGGAAGCACATCTCAGAAGCTCATGTAAACAGCAGTAATTACTGACAGAATTCATTTTTTTAACCACATGGTTAATTTTAGTGTGCCGAACTACTGCCATATTTGTACACTTTGATTTAAAAAAAAAAAAAACAATAAAGAAGTGATAATCTCCAAGCCAAATTACTGCAGTGTCAATTTTAAACACGTGGGCAGCAGGGGCCCCTCCGCCTCCTGAGGCTGTCCTTCTGGGCCCCGCAGGCGCTCTTCCCAGCCCCAGCCAGCGCCATCTGTGCTAGCCCTCAAGTCCACGCGGCGCAGCACGCTGAGGCTCCACTCTGCATCAGGGACTCCCAAGCTCATACCTAAGCGTCCGATTTTCTCCACTTTTCAATTCATGCTTCCCCTTTTCAACAGTCATTTACTAGTGGAGGGTCTCTTGTCACGTCAAACTGAGTGCCTGCTCTTCTCTGAACTCTTCCTGCTGTCCCTCAACATCTACTTGGCACTTCTCTCAGAACATCAGAACCCCCTTTTCTGGTCAAGCACGTGAACTCCTGGATAAAAGCCACTGAGTGAGCTCACCTTCTGGGAAATTTCCTTAAAGAGAAAGAGGAACTCTCTTAGCTCCTTCCTTTATCCCCAAAGCTGATTTGAAGGTATGGCAGTGCTCAGCCACTATCTGAGGTAAGTGTCCACTTAGGGCCCACGGAACAAAGGCCAGGAGCCCTGTGATCTTGTGAAACAGTCCTGGACAATGTCTGATCATCACATGAGAAAATAAATCACAGAGGGCTAATTCACCAATAATTTTGGTCTATACAAATGGCTAGAGTGACATACTCAACTTCAAATTCTGCATGTCTTGATGTCATCACTTATGCATAGATTCTTAATGGACGGATCTCTCAGAGACTCAGTTTTTTTCCAACCCCTGAAATCTTGTCATCTCTCTGGTTGCCTGGGACAGACCCTCCTCCACGCCCTGCTAGCAGGCTGAGTCTTGGTGGGGACTCGAGGCCCCCCTCCATCCCTGAGGCTGAAGCAGCTGCTTACTCGGCCTCCCTTGCAGCCAGGCACAAGGTACTGCCTGGGTTCTGCCCCTTTCAAGCTGAAATTATTGACACAGGAAGCAGGGCCAGTCCCCCATCTCTGTGTGAGTGGTCACACAACTACCCTTTAAGGTGAGGTGGCAGCAGGCCCGGCAGCTGTCACTGGCCGCAGGTCCAGAAGTGTGGTGCACAGAGGCAGTGGAGTCCTGACAGGAGGTTCTGCTGGTGGCCGTGGCTGTGTGGCCAGCTGCCACACCAGACCTAACTTTCCACCCCAATGCCAGTCGTGGCCGCTCAACAATGCCCTTCAGCAGATTCCTGTTCTGTCTGATCAGCCAATGACGGCAGCCTATACCCCGACTGACACCAATGCATCACACACTCATTCTGCCCGTCCTCTTCCTGAGCATGTGCTCTTCCTGCCTCACTCCACTGCTGTCTCCTCACCTAGCTGAAGAGGTACTTTCAGCTCATCCTGCATGCTGCTACCCTTCCAGCACCACTCCTGTCAAGTGAGTCCAGTCCCGCCAGTGCCTGGCATTAGTCCACACATCCTGGGCGCTGTTCTGCCCTCAGCCATGAGGCGAGGCAGTGCGGGTGCTCAGGATGAGCAGGAAGGCGCTACAGGGTGTGGGGATGGGCAGTGGAGCTCACCCTAAATATAACCAGGTGATAAATCATAGCTCCATTTCAGTAAAGATAAAAATACGTGCACCCTCTAATCATGATAATACAGCAGCTCCATCAAGCCCTACACAAGGGCAAGGCTGCTACAATGAATCTGAATATGCGGCTGGTCCTTAATGATTACTTGTCTGCTTTTTCCCTTTTCTATATCAACTAAAAACTGACTACTGCCCTGAAATTGATTTCTGGATACAGATTAATTTTGTTAGCCAAGACAGGTCTACGACATGAGGTCTACTATGAGACACAACTTCGCAGGCACTAATGACACACATCCGTCTGCTCCTAGAGCTTTGCTACACATAGTCATGCTGATCTTAGAATGCCTGAATCTGCAGACTCCATATGCAGGTGCTAAATCTATCCTTGCTCTTCCAGTAAATAGAAACAAAAGGATTCCAGCCATTGTTAAGAATGTCAATTAGATGCCCAAGCTCAACTAGCACAGTAAACATCACCAGCGCAAGGCACGTGCTCTGCAGCTCGAAGCTGGAAAGCACGCGCTCTGACCACTCACACGTTGCTGTCCCCTTGGCTCCTGGTGTGGTACGTCCTCCTGCCTGCAGTTTTCCCGTTCCTTAACTCCACGGCGGGCAGTTCTTTGAAATAACAGCAAAACTGCTCAATGTTACTATTTCAGAAGGAAGAAAATTATTTTTTTTTAAAAAAAGGAAGAAAAGAAAAGAATTTAATAGGACTATAATCAAAGGTCTATGAAGATTATACATGGCTTCTAAAAGTATGACTTTTAAACTGCTCCCCTCCCCCCGCAGTGAATCGAACTCAGGACCTTGCACTTGTCAGGCAGCGCTTATGCCGCTGAGCTATTTCCCTAGCCCTCAACTTTCTCCTTGAAACTGTACTCGATGTACTGTCCTGCACTTAATTTCTTCCATACTACGGCTCTTGGTGCACTCTGGGAAGCAGACAACTTTGCAGAAATGAGCAGAGGACTTAAAGTTGCTCCTCAGAACCACGGTCTCATTTCCCGTCCCTGTAGGCTACACCACCCCTTCTCAGGGGTCTGAGCCTACATGGTGGTGCCTTGCCTCATGAATGCCTTTGTCTTGGTCCTCAAACGGAAGCACTTGGGAGAGTCTGGATTCTGTGCAAGAACTCTGTATCAGGTGGCCGCACAACCACGGCCACCTTCTCTACAACTGCGGGATGAATTAAGTTTGTGAACTGAAGCACCACTCTATATGCAGTAACTTCCTCAAATGGAAACATAATGAAGCGTCCATTTGATTTAGATATGCTACACGGAATTATAAGGAGATTTTAAAACTAACCCTAAATTTTCTTTGAGCAAGAACAAGTAGACAAGAAGCAGTACCTTTTAGGAGATATCAAGTATAGTCTGCTCTTCAATGATTTGGGGAAGACAATTTACCCTAGCCTTGGATGCCTCACGGAAGTCTAAAAGTCGACAACTTTCAAAATAATTTCATGGGGGCTGGGAGATGGCTCAGTAGAATAAGCACTTGCCTAGCAAGCACAAGGGCCTGAGTTCAATCTTCAGTTCTTAAAAAAAAAATTTTTTTTTTTTTTCTTAAGACCAGGGCTTTAGCTCCATTGGCAAAGTGCCTGCCTGTCAGGCATGAGATCCTGAGTTCAATTCCTGGTACTGCCTTCCCCTGCAAAAAAGACAAAATACCTTCTACTGATATCAGCTTTGCTGGTTGCTCAATTTGTACTGTCTTACTTTTTTTTTTTTTTATACTTGCAATTGAAAAAAAAAATATTTTGTTTGGACTTCATGTTGGCCAAGCAGGCACTGTGCTGCTGAGCTGTATCACCAGTTCACACTTTGAAGATTTTATAAACATGATTTGATGACTTAGCCGAATGAAACAGGCTCTCTTCACCAGGGTGGCTGCAGCCCAGAGGCTGCAAACTCTGGCCCAAAGATCGTATCTATCCCCTGGCCAGGGAGCTTTTACATCTTTACAGTGAACTTTACCTTTTTAAAGCTTTATCTTTGAAAATGGAAAGGTACAGGGGAGAAAACCTGGGAAATATACATATAACTGAAAAATTAAACTATTTACTTTTCTGCCTTTTCTAGTAAAAGTCTGCTGATCTCCTCTCTAGCTTACTCAATAAGCAATGAGAAAGAAATGTGAACAGCAAACAGTTACCACTGCTTGAAGCGCTTCAGACCAATTACATCATTTAATCTTGCCACCACCCTCTAAGGCAGGAATGATTACTCCCAAGTTTACTGACAAGGAAGTTAAATCACAAGGACTTGGGGTAACTTGGCCCACGCTGGAGGCAGCAGATAGTAGATGTAGGGCCAGGGGCCAGGGCCTTTGCCCTGAGCCTTTACTGTCAGGCCCTTGAGCTCTGACTGGGGTGTTACCTGAGTGACTGAAGGATGGCATTCATGAAACACGTGTTGCCCAGATTCCGAAGACCTGTCGCACAAATGGCAGTGGTGCTTCCCTGTAAATGGAACAAGTGACCGTCAGTATCGGAAGGCTGCCCAGCTCAAATACCAAAACCGAGCAAAGGCCTCTATTTGCAACTGCAGGACCAAGGTAACCTAGCTATGGTGCTTCTTTGGCTTTCTTTTTCTTTTCAGTTCCAGAGACTGGATCCAGGGCCTCTGCACTGAGCTACACTCCCGGCCCTTTTTATTCTGACATAGGCTATTTTGCACAGACTGTGTAGGAATTTGTAAACTTCCCTCAGCCTCTCAGACTGCTGAGACTACAGCATCGTCTTTTTTGTTCAATGATACATCAACCTCTTCCTACAGTAGTCTCTTCAGAAGTGTAAGGATATATTTAGAGGAGACTTCCTCAGTATGGCATTGTTCTCAATGAGAGTGTTTTGGTTGAAAGATTATGAGGAAATAAGCCTGAAAAAGTATCATGGAGTACCCAACAAAATCAGGAAAGTGAAGTTTAAGATGTCTTTGAAGGATTCCACTCAAATTAATCAAGACTGAAAAATTATAAGACCGTAGTATTTTTGTCCATAACCTTTAAATCTAAGCCTTGTATACATGACCAACATATATTTTCCTAGCAATGGCAGCTGAACCTTAAAAACCTACCGACAGCGCCAGGTGTGGTGGTGCACACCTGTAACCTCAGCACCCTTACTGCAAGGGGATCACTGTGAGTTTGAGGCCAGCTTGAACTGCACAATGAGACTTTGCCTCAATAAAAACACAAAACAGAAAAACGCTTCTGTTATGGCTTATACCCAGCCCACACACCCCGACCCCCGTCCAGAGCCTCACACCCCTACAGGTGGGGTTTTCAGAGGACTGGATCTGTGATGCTGGGATTAACGATGCCCCACCCTGCGTGTGACTGGGTGGAACGTAAGGGACAGCACGAGGGCTGCTGCTGTTTCTCCTCTGCTTCTGCCCTGTCGCCCCACCTCAGAACAGATGGCTGTTGACACTGACAAATGGCAAGCTGCCATTCATTTAGCTTTTCTCCCTTAACTTGTGAGTGTCGGGTATTTTGTCTCAGCAAGGACAGAAGTAACGAAGACACTACCTGAACTTTTCTGAAAGACTTAGAACTGACTGCTGATGTTTTGCATGGAGACTGAACCGTGGGCACCTGGCACTGAGTTACAGCCCAGCCCTTCTTAAATTTTTTTCAACAGCCTCACTAAGTCAGTAAATTGCCCAAGTCAGGCTGGAACTTGCAGTCCTGCCTCAGCCTCCCAGAGTGCTGGGACTGCAGACATGCACCACCATCCCCAGCCTGAGGCTTGGCTTTCTGATTAGTTCTACAAATGCGCTTCAGTGTCTGAATACTATACTAACAAAGTAAATCTACCCCTCTAACCCAAAGCATCTCTGCCCATAATTCTGGGAGCCACAGAGCTGTTTTCTTCTCCCTCCCTCACAAAAAAACATAAGACTTTGTGTTCAAACACAGCTAGCACAATAACAAAGGGGTAGGTGCAGGAAAAAAATACTGGTTCACTTAAAATATCTAATGTTCTTTAAATGTCATTAATCATTAATAGCCATATATGATTATAACAGATGGCTAAAAGAGTGAGGGTGTGTATTCTTCTATGGGGAAATCCTATTGATGAAGTCCTAAGAAATAAAACTCAGCAAAGGTTCAGACCCATACGACTCGCACCAGGGACCTTTATCAGAAGGAGGAAGCATCTCTGAGGTCCCACAGACATGGAGTACAGTAAAGAAGCAGGCAAGCGGAGGCAGCGGTTTCTAAGGCTAGGACACAGCAGTAACTGACGGAAGAAAGCAACGCCAGCGCCCTCACTGGGGTTGCGGCGACAGTCATCAGCACAAGGGGCAGATACTTTGGAAAATATCCCAAGTGCATGGCACAGGTTTAGCATAGACCACATTAAAAGTTACAGTTGTTACAAAACAGTATTTAGATCCCAGCTAACTCAGATTTCAATAAATTTTACTTACATTTACTTTTAATAACTTGCTGTTCAGTGATGAGTTCTCCAGAAGTTTTCTCTTCCTATGCCTGTCAGCTGTGAACGCTGAACTATTAAAACATAAACACGGAGTCAGAAAGCCATTAATGCATCCATGCTACACAGCAGACTACAGAACAAATCCGAGTCACCCACAACACCTAGGGAAGCGTGGCGAACCTAGAGGGCGGCAGCAGTCGGCTTGTGTCACCGAAGCCCGAAAAGGTCCACCGCGGCTGCTCCAGGGCGCAGAACCCCGACTGGCGGTTCAGGCAGGCCACCAAGGGGCCCGGCAGGCTTGGGTATGTGCAGTTAACTGGGGCTTTCTGTCTCCTTGGAAAGCCCCAGCGCTGCCTAGCAGGACTCCAGGGGGACAGCCGGAGACGCACCTTTCCTGCGCCACTCCAACTACCTTCTCCGGGATCTGAAGGGAGCTTCAAAAGCGAGAAGACCCAGTCCCCACAACAGAAGGCAAAGTCCCATCTGCACTATTACGCTGCAATCTAAAGAGTTTTGAACAATGTGCTGTTTCTTATTTTGGATAAAGGCCTCATATTTCACTCATGCACTTTACCAATATGCTCTAATCCGAGTGTGAAGAACTACAAAATTATGGCAATATGGGCATATATAAATTTATTTGATTCAACTATGCTGTACAGAATATTCTAAAATCAAAATTAAATTAGAAATTCTGAATTAAAATCATTTAAAAATTGTCATTAAAGGACTGTTTTGCTTAAAATTCATCATATTATTCTTCTTCAAAAGGTCACCTTAAAATTATTATCTATCAGATAACTAACCTGCAGGAAGCAAAAATTATGAACAACATAAACTTGTTAGTTTGCCAATTCTTTTCTACCTACTAAAAGTACCAAGCTAGCCCAAAATAAAGACCTCACTGTTTTTCTTTCCAGAATGTCCACGAGAACCATGTCTTTGAAACATCAGTTGTTCTTTGTTTGTTTTGTTGGTATCAGGGATCGAACTCAGAACCTTGCGCTTGCCAGGCAAACACTTACTCCGCTGAGCTATCTCCCCGGCCCACAACACCAGTTCTAATGATAAGCAGTTGCTCCAAACCTTAGAAACAACCTTTAGACCCTTATACACCTCTCTCACAGTGTTAGTGGTTACAAACAGAACATTTCCATATATCCCAGTGCTAAAATACTTCTGAACAATTAGTATAGTAGAAATTGAGTAACAAATAGTATAAGTGCTTACTGAAAAAAGTGCTTAATTTTTTTCAATTATTAGTAAAAGGCACATTGTCACTGATCCCCTCACTTTAACTTACTTATCTTTTTTTTCCTTGTTTGAAACTGTCCTGCTATGTGTGGAGCCCAGGCTGGCCGCAGCCTCCCCAGCGCTGGCATCATAGGAACGGGCCGCCACACCTGGCTCAGTTCCTTTGACTTTGACACACTCACCTCACCTTTCTTGCCAACTGCTGAAGAGGAAGTCCCTTGTGTCTCTGAGGTTTGATCACAAATATGCTGAATAGTTACGAGTAGTTTCATAACTTTAAAATGTGCTGAACATTGCCACCTGCTGCCACCTACAGAAAGGCAGGCTCACAGAAACACGACAGTGTGTCCTCACCCATTCATTCTCCACCAGACTTGACCAGGTAATGTAAATGTCCTGAATCACTTCTGGACACTGAGATGGCCACACTGACACCACAACAGACACTTGCAAAAGACCCGCCGCAGAG